CTTTTATTTCCCTTCCTCTCAGGAGATCTGCTCTCTCTGCTTCTCAAGGTGCATGTGACCAAACGTGGGAGCCCCTCAGTTCAGCCAAACGGAACAAAGAATAGCCTCCCTTTCCCTCTAGGCTGCGTGTCCGGTAGAGAGAATATATGATTGGCCAAATGTGTATCAGGATCCATCCCTGGTCCAAGCAATGAGGAATGGCGAAGGATGGGTGCCAAGGCCTGGAGGCTCGTGGGCTGGACAGATACTCCTGACACTTTCTGCTGCACCTTTGCCCTGGATTAAATGTCCTGTGCATGAAGAATAATCATAATTAATAGTAATCAGGTAATAGTTACAGAGCCCATACTGTGTGCCAGAGCCTCTGCTAATTGTGTTATGTTCCTCATCTCCATCTCCACAATAAATGCTCTGAAGCAGGTAGAGAAAGTGGCCTCACACACGCTGAAGCACTTTTCCCAGATTACCTGGCCAAATAGAGGGAGCAAAGGAAAGAGACCCAGGTTCGTCAGAGGGCAAAGCTGTACCCTTAGCTGTTTTACTGGGAAGTAGTAAACTGCGGTTGTTTTAGTGCACATTGTTGAGAGACTATTATCACTATCTTATAGTTTCCCTTCCCCCCGGGTTTTCATTGGCTGCTCTCAAAGTGTTGAGACAACTTCTGATCCTTGATTTTGTCCAAGGAACTCGATTAAAGGGATAGTAGCAATTAAGCACAGCAGATTCTCAGAAATGTTTGCCTTTAGTTACTGAGTGACTTTCAGAAGAGTGGGCCTGCGTCCTGCAAGATGACGTGCAAAATCCCACAAACGTAATGCCAGATGGAACTGACCCATATGTGAAAATAGGTTTCCTCACATGGTCCGAGTTTATTGTTTTCTATAACTGTCTACAGGCTGCCCCCTGCTGGCTGATGTGAGTGAGACACCGCAGATCCTAGAATGCTGTAAATGGCAGAGAGAAGCCCCAATTCCCAGGGTTGGGAGTGCCAGGGAGGTCTCACTTTAACATGGCCCTAGTCCAGTTAGAAACCAGCGGACTCTCCCCTGCCTGTGCTTTATCATTCCCCACATCACCTCCAAAGAGAAGGCAGTCAGCTTTCAGACTCAGTTATCGTCGTCCACTTGAGTCTACAATGCATCAAAGGGCACACATGCTCTGTGTGCCTTCCTTGAGACATGACTGAAATCCCGATATAAAATCAAATATGTAAACATTCAAAAGAAGAAGATGCAAGAGGGAAGAGTTATGGGGACATATGTATATGTATAACTGATTCACTTTGTTATACAGCAGAAACCAACACACCATTGTAGAGCAATTATACTCCAATAAAGATGTTAAAAAAAAAAAGAAAGCTGAGATTAATATGGTCATTTCTGTCCCTCTCATCTCTTGCCTCCTTCACCTTTATAGAGTACTGATTGATTTAAAGGTAGATGAATTAGGTTCTGTCCTGAATAAAAGTCAAATGGCTATAGAGTATGTTACTTGTTCAGACTGTTCCTGTGTTTATTTGTATCTAAAATGTTCATTGAGGTTCTAAATAGCCGTTACTTAGAGTCTACTTTATGAACTCATTTTTTTAGTGAGGAAAACTAAATTTTAAAAATAAGTATAATTTCCAGGGGCTTCCCTGGTGGCGCAGTGGTTGAGAGTCCACCTGCCGATGCAGGGGACACGGGTTCGTGCCCCGGTCCAGGAAGATCCCACATGCCGCGGAGCGGCTGGGCCCGTGAGCCATGGCCGCTGAGCCTGCGCGTCCGGAGCCTGTGCTCCGCAACGGGAGAGGCCACAACAGTGACAGGCTCGCATACCCCCTACCGCAAAAAAAAAAAAAAAAAAAGGTATAATTTCTATATTAACTAGTATAATTTCCTGTTAATGAGCTCTCATAATTAGAGCTATTGCTAATGTAACTTTTAGGTCATGAAAATAGGCTTTTGAACTATGTTTGTATATGGATATACACACGCACACTCAAGGGGGAATCATTATTTCACAGAAGAAGTGTGAGTTACTTCTACTCCTGTAAGAGTTTAGTTTCTTAAGAAATAAAATATTTGTCTTATTTCTAAAGAAACACATATTCTTCATAGAAAATTTAAAGGATACAAACAAATACAAATTTAGATAAAGTAATGACTACCCATGTAAAATTAATATGTATGATGTATATTCCCAACACACATAGGTACATGTAATGTATAACTTACTTTCTAGAGATTTCTATCTGAAACTTAGTATGAAACATTATATAAAAAGCCATCAATATGAGATCATTTAACCCAGTAACTGCCAATAACTTAATTGATGATACAGTCAGTGACCTAATATTAAATGTTTGTAAGACTCCTGTTTGCATATCTTGCTTCCAGACATCTTATCAATAACCTAGACTTGTGAAATCATTTTAACGCATAATAGTGTCCCTTTGTGAATGATATAAAGAGAAGAAAGATTATATTAGATATCAATGTTTGATTATTTGCTAGGCTTTTTCACCACCTAAATGATGTCTTCCCAACGGCTTTAGCAATGCTGTCTGAACTTGTGTCTTACTAAATTTATAAATTACGACATGCCATGGGTGTCAGTGCTAGAAGTATTAAATGCACGAAGAGCAAGGCTGTCTATAAAGTAATATGATAGATTTTTTTAACACCCGTCAGAGCTCATACTTTGAAGTAAGTGTTTTATTCCACACAGTCTTGTGAGAGTTTATTAACTGCCTCCTTAATCTATGAATGTATTTTTTCAGCAATATTCACCTGTGAGTGCTCTGTGTGTTGGCATTTTCACAGGCCCGTGGATATAATAATGAATGAGGCAGGTAGGCTAGTCTAACGAGGGAGAAAAGATGACACCAGCCATTGCAAGACAGGAGTGTAAGCGTTAAATTAAGGTGGCACCAGTGATGTGGAATCCTGCCTAACCCAGTCCCTGGGGTCAGGTCACATGTTAAAGCAGCATGACTCCTGATCTGTATCCTGCCAGTGGATTTTTACAGTATGGGTAAAGAGTTTAAAAGTGCATTCATCAGAGTCAATAATTATATAATATCTTGGTGTGGTGACAGATGGTAACCAGACTAATCATGGTGATCATTTTGAAATGTATAGAAGTATCACATCACTGCGTTGTGTAACAGGAACTAGCATAGTGTTGAAGGTCAATTATACTTCAAGAACAAACAGACTCATAGAGAAAGAGTTCAGACTTGCCAGAATTTGGCTTCTCCAGCTGGCTCTCCTGTGGACTTGATGGTTTATTGCGACTGGATTACAACTAGCTATACTAATCAGTGTTTTAATTTGTTCTTTGTTTCCAAATTGTTTGTGCTTTATGTCTCCCTGCTACACTATGGCTTTGTCAGTGCTACTAGCTGCATTACTTACATCCTGTCTATTTTATAAGATTGTTGTCTCTTAAACAGTACCCAGTGTGTAACCAGGTCTCCAACAAAATTGTTGATGACTAAACATCTTGAGGAAATAGACCACATCTATGACTCTTATAAAATAATTGTAATAATGTGGTTCTAGGTATGGGAAGAAGCAATAAGGGAGAACATTTCCTGGATCATAACAGAGGATCCAGAGAATCTTTAATTATCAACAGGGCCTAATCTGGAAATTAGCACCTGGAATGGCATATCAACAAGAGTTTTCTCCTGATCTGGGATGAGCCTCCCAGCACCATGGGACTAAATTTGGTCATGCATGTCTCCCAAGTATTGGTCGAATTCCTGACCAAGAGGATGATTTGAGAAATCGGATATTTCCTGCCATATCAGTAAACAAAGGATGTCACAGTCATCAGTGATTTCAGCCAGGTGAGAGGGTGAGCCCTGAGGGAACTCAGGAAGGAAAGAATACCTGCCATCTAGCAGCCATCAGACTGCAGCCACTCCCCGCGGTGAGCCCTGAGGAAACTCAGAATATGAAAACACAGGATACTGGCCCTAAATAGCTAAGGTGCATATCAAAGGAAGGATTTCAGTGAGCCCAGACTCTTGCATCTTCCCATACATAGAAAAGCCCTAAATTCTTTAACTTGAGATGTCTGGTTTTCATTAATTAACAATAATCTTATGGCATTCAGACTACCTGCCCTTTGTTGCAAAACTGCCTGGCTCCCCCCTTGCCTCTTCGGAGCAGTTTCTCAGAGCTATCTGAAACAGTGTCTCCTGGGATGCAGTCCTCATTTCACCCCAAATAAAACTTAACTTGCCAAAAAAAAAAAAAAAAGAAAATCAGATTTGTGATTATGAGGTGGGGGGTGACAAGAGGGGGAATGAGATGAAGGCAGTGGAAAGGTACAAACTTGCAGTTGTAAGATAAGTAATAGGCATGTAATGTACAACATAATAAAGATAATTAACACTGCTGCACATTTTATATGAAATCGTTAAGAGAATAGATCCTGAGTTCTCATCACAAGGAAAAAATGCATATTTTTTGTTTCTTTAATGTATCTAATATATGAGATGATGCATCTTCACTACACATACTGTCATCATTTCATGATGTGTGTAAGTCAGACCATTATGTTCTACATCTTAAAACTTACACAGTGCTCTATGTCAATTCTATCTCAGTAAAACTGGAAAAAAGTACATGATCAGGACTGCATCATAGTCACAGAAAAGGCAGGCAGCTCTTTTTTTTTTGGAATCGTCTTCAAAAGTTTAGGGTATTTTACTGACTATCCCGTAGAGGGGCAAATGATAAATATTTGACATAAATTGGATTCTTTTTCTGTGAATACTGCTGGTTCAGTAGAGTCATACTTACCTTTTAAAAGCTCTGGGATTTAGCTGAGGGAACGGCATACACTAGGTACTTAATGACTATTTACTGATGATTGACTGTGCAAGAGGTCTGACAAAATGATTGATGCACAACTGGAAAATTCTAGTTCCGGCCTAGAGCCAGACAGGTCTGAGTGCTGAGCTGGCTTTTCTTGTGGAGCTTGCTGATTCATTTCATCACTTGCAGGAGCTCTTCCGCGAGGTGAGAGACTCATTTGAACAAGAGAGGCGGCTGCCAAAGCACACTGAACTTGCCTCGGATATTCAGGGTGAGTACTCTGGCAAAGACCATACTCGTTTGGATTTTAAAATTCAGATGCATTTGTTGAAGTCAAATCAGTTTGATTTAAAATTACTCAGTTTGCATGTGCATTTATATACAGACACACAGACTGAAAGTTTAATTGATGTGGCTTAAGGTAAGTCGGCATTTCTTTTCCTGGTTCATGCAGACTGTTTGGTTCAAATCCAGGGTGTACCACATGTAGCTGTGTGACCTTGGGGAGGTTACTTAACCTCTCTGTTTTTCAGTTCCTTAATTCATACATCATGGGTAATGATTACACCTAAATTATAGAATGTGTATGAGGCTAAATGAGTTAATATATGTGAGAGCCTAGAACTTTGTTTGTTACATAGTAAGAACTGTTTAACTATTGCATAATTATTATCTTCAACCATAACAATACTAACATTAAAAATACATAATTTACCAGATCAAATAACCTATAAAGTGTTTGTCAATGTGTATAAGAAGGTAATGATTATACTTAAAATATAAAATGTTTCTGAAGCCAAATGGATTAATACATGCAAAGAGTATAGAATACCTTTTGTCACTTGGTAACTATTTTATTGTTATTACCCTTAACCATAGTAATATTAACGTTAAGAACATTTAGATGACTAGGTCCAACTAGTATTTTAAAATAGTTTACCATTTAGCTTTTGCTTGTTTTTAATGTTTTCATTATGTTGAAAAATATGAATTACCAAAATGAGAATGAAATAACATGGTTAAAATGGAAACACAGTAATTTAGAATACCTTTTCTCTGTAGGTGAAAAATATAGCCTCAAGAAATCCAATTCCTTGAAACTGAATGCATTTTAAAATTCTAATTCATTTTTCTTGCAATTTATAGATCTGGCATTATTAAAATATTCATATCTTTGAGCTCATGTGGCATAACAAATTTAATTTGCAAAACAAAGATGACATGCATAGAACATGATCCATAATCACTTTTTTTTAAGCCTCATGTTGTAGGCACTTCATTAGAGAGACAGGTCAGACATATTTTCTAACTCCATAGAGCTTTCCAAATAACCTCTTAGAAAGTCATGAAATAATACAATTTTGGAACAAAACGTTTTGTATTGTTTTCATTGTTTCTCAGTTGTATAGGGTACCACCCCACCGTCCTCGACAGGGTTGTTAGACATGTATGGGGGTGCTTTGTGTTATTTTTCACCAGAAGGTCTTTATACCCCAGTGTAACCGGATACTGTGAAAGGGGGGATGGAGGACGAAGAACCACAGATTGCATTCCTGGTCCAGCGGCAGCTCCAGTGCAAGGATGGCCCTCGAGTAGCAAGGCACTGGGCAGAAGTGGCCAGACCCTCGTACTGATGACCATACTCCATCAATGGGGAGAGGCTGGGGGCTTCCGCCCGGAGTGTGGGGCTTCCATTTAAACACGGGAGCAGACCCCAGGGGGCTGCCGCTGGAGGCTGCCAACTAAGTGTGCTCCTTGCAGGTGATAAATATCGGGTTGGCCAAGAAGTTCGTTAGGTGTCTTCTGTAAGATGTTACGGAAGAACCCAAACGAACTTTCTGGCCAACCCAATAGGTTCTGCCTCGAAGGCACATTCGCGTAGCACATCTGCAAGGCTGCTCTCACCCCGGTTTCTAAATCCAGCTGAGCATCTGTCTAGAGTCTGACGGTTTGCTGTGTATACCAGAGACTTCCAGAGTTCAACATTGTTACATGGCTGGGGGTGTCTGATTTCACAGAGTGTCTCATTTGAAGAATATTCGTGTTTCCTTTTGGTTTGGGGGCAGAGTATGTGGGAAGAGGGTAAAGATTAGCTCAAAGGGTTTTCCTGTGATTAGGGTTGTCTCCTTGCAGGGCCAGTGACTCTGCCTATAGCAGGGATGATTGTTATTAGTTCTAGCAGTAGTAGTAGTAAAAGTAATCGTTATAGCAGTAAAAGGAGGGTGAAGAGGACGAGGAGTAACAGTAACAGCAACAAAAGCAATGATACAGTCGTTACTGTTTCTTTGACATGGGGCTAAGGTCTGCCATGTAACTCCCACGCAGTACTTCCCACAGCGCTACAGAACAAGAGCATTGGCATTATTTTAATTTTAGACGCGATATTTGCAGAGGTTAAGTAACTTGCCCCAGCTTATCAAGCTAATAAATGATAGAAGTGGAATTCAGACCCGTGTGGCAGGAATCCCAGGCACCTGCTCCTGTCTGCTGCCGTTGCTAATCAAGATGTGGGCATGGTTATTCCCTATGCTTCTTGTGTAAGACGCCTGGTACCTGTGTATTTGATCTTTGAAACCTCAATTTCCTCACCTGTAGAAAGTCAGTAATAAGCAACCTGACTTTCTCATGGAGTTAATGTGAGGGAAAAAAAAAAGATGATGTTGAGAAAGTGGTTTGTAAAGTATAAACTCTTCATAAATACGTGTTGGTTATTATCGTACTGGTATGAAATATTCTGTGTTCTGGAAAGGAGACTAAAAGTTTGACCATAGCAAGGGTGGGAACTTCATTCTCAGGAATTATACTCCCAGAATTTGAGATCTGGAAAAGCTTTGGAGAGTGTCCAGTTCAGTGGTTCTCAGCCCAGCTGCTTGTTTGTATCACTTGGGGGAGCTTTTAAAAATTGTCGATGCCCAAGATTCACTCCATTTTTAGAAATCTTGTTTAATTGGTCTGCAGTAGGGCTTAGACATCTCAGTATATGTATATGCATATGCATTTGTGCATGTAAACATGTGTATGCATATGTAGGTATAGGTGTATGCTTGTGTATGTCTGTTTTCTCCAAAGATGATTCTAATGTGTAGTCAGGGGCAAAAATGACTGAGTGGAACCAACAAGCTTGTTTCTGACAACTGGGGTAACTTTTTGTTTACCCAGGACAATTGCAGCTGACACCTGTTGCCCATTGACCCAGCTGATAAGCCCCTTTTCCCTCTCACGTGCCCTGGTTTGGATGATAAATTATACCATCTCCTGCTGATAAGGAACTGAGGCTTTGGGAGGCTGTTTGCCTTCTAAAGGGAATTGAGTATAGTGCCCACCTTGGGCTTTCAGGGGTTGCTTTGGAGTTGTGTTGGACACCGTGTAAGTAAGCAGGATGCTTCTTGACATTCTTAAGCTGAGAGAATTTCTTAGTTTTGCTATGATAATGAGAGCTCTTTAAAAATAGAACTATGCTGTGTTTCCACGTGACCCACCTAAGTTTTGCAACACCGAGGTCTCATCATCTCATCTGATTCATTTATGCAGGGAACATGTCATCACTGTTTCGGTTCCTGAAAGCACCTTCTCGTGAATGCTAGCAATTGTTATTTAGGAAATTAAATTTAGAAAACAGAGTGACTTCCATGGTGGCGCAGTGGTTAAGAATCCGCCTTCCAATGCAGGGGACGTGGGTTCGAGCCCTGGTCTGGGAAGACCCCACATGCCGCGGAGCAACTAAGCCTGTGTGCCACAACTACTGAGCCTGTGCTCTAGAGCCCGCGAGCCACAACTACTGAGCCCACACGCCACAACTCCTGAAGCCCGCGCACCTAGAGCCCGTGCACCGCAACAAGAGAAGCCACCGCAATGAAAGCGCGTGCACCGCAACGAAGAGTAGTCCCTGCTCGCCACAACTAGAGAAAGCCCGCGCACAGCAATGAAGACCCAACACAGCCAAAAATAAATAAATAAATAAATAAATTTATTAAAAAATAAAGAAAGCAGATCAACAGCTTTATCAGCTGCCTCGGTACTCGTTCTCTTAACGCCATGCGGGGCAACGTGGACCCTGCTGGATATGACGTGCCTGATGACGACATTTATGAGACCTCTGTCCAAAAGGAAATTTGACATTGACCAAGAGATCTGACCTGTAGTTGCTCTGACAGGCCTTGGTGCTGTCTTCTCGGTTGAGACTTTCTCAGCCAATGTCAAATCTGATATTGGCATTAAGGTCCGCATAACCTAGGATATACATGCCCCAGCATAACTAAGGTACTTCTCAGCCAGTAGTCTGGCTTTACTGGAAGTCTGTGTTCAGTACACACATGAATCTGTGGATGTGGGTATGTTTATGTGATAATAGTAAGGACATCTCCCCATCATTGGAGTTATTATTCTGGGATGACTCAATCGGAAGTGCAGCTCTCGGAAAGTGGAATGTTTCCATTGACATCCATCAGAGTGAAACCAAGGACGGTAGGTGTTCCTGTTACCCAGCATTGATGGCTTTACCTCCTTGAGGAATCCAGGGATTGAACGGTACCCTGAAGATGCAATACGTCGTCCAGGAGACTGGAGTATTCAGTTTTGTTTGTCGTATATTGTAGGTGAGGGTCAGAGATTGATTTTGACGTATTAGAGATTCCTTCATTTACAAGTCTCAGAAAAACTCTTTGCAAACTATACTGACACCTTCCTTGATTTCAGAATGGCAGTGGTCTCACTCCTGATGTTGGAAGCGCGTTTGGCTGTCCCAGATGGCTCCTTGGCAAACAGTGGGCCCCTGTTACTCAAAAAAGAAAAGTATAACTCCTGTTGTTAGGATTTAGAGTCCAAGAAGTTCATACTGTTATTATTACCTAGTTTGAAAAAGAAAGGTTGGCAAATTTCCCCAGACATTGTCTGAGGGAGGGGGTCAATTAAAAGAGACATTTAGTGCCTTCCAGTTCTCTTTCCAGAGTCTCCCAAGACATGCTGGCTGTCCCTACTCTGTATTCTTAGTGCACCACACACATTCCTTTATCATGATTCATAGCACATTGTACTGGAATTACTTGTTTGCAAGTCTTTCTCTCGTGCTAGACTGGAGAGCAGAAACCATGCCGTACTTGTCTTTGCATCCCCAGCACTTAGCAAAGAAATGAACACATATTGGACATACAAAGAACCTTGAGTGAATTAATAACTGACCGCAGAACAAAAAGGAGCTTGAGTATCAATCAAGAATTGCGTCCTTGTGTAACCGAAAGTGGGGTCCGGCTGCTCGCCACTGAAAAGCTAATA